CCTGGAGGGGGAGGCGGGGGCGGGGGGCTGCTCGGTGCTGCCCACCGTCGGGTGTTGCTGTTGGTCCGTCGCTCGCCGTTGCGTCCGCAGCTTCTCCTCTCGTCTCCATTTGGCTCGTCGATTCGAAAACCACACCTGTAATTCAAAAACAGTCACTTCAGTTAAAATGCCGCTAGACACATTCGTGGCCAGGAACAAAATGCCGGCCGTGGATCACATCACGCCCATCACGGGGGCTCATTGTCGAAACTGAGAGACAAAGCGATAGGCAATTTTGGATATAGGTAACTAAAATAACCACATGACAAAGCGGAAAGTATCATGGCAAACTGAAGGGACTCTCAGCCGCGAGATCATAATTCTGGCGTTCTTTACAGACAGAATCTTTTCGTTTCGATGCCAATTATTCAAATATGAAACGTTGAGACAGAGTACTCTGTGCTCACGACCGAAGTTCCGTTCTCACAATAGAAAATTTCTCAAAGTATAACAAAGTAAGTGCAAGAGCCATGTGAACAGAAGTTTTTATCATTCGCTTCGACTATTTTTTGCGTGTATAGTTTGCATTATATCGTATTAACTAATGTTTTTATGCGGGCAGTTAATAGACATAAGTTAATCTAATTATGCGTGTGCGGAAGTGACAGTTTTGTCAAGAGTCACATCAGAGAAATAAAACTGATGACATTACACGAGGATAGTCTCTTACCTGTATCCGAGCTTCTGGTAACCCTATTTTCACAGCTAATCTTTCCCGAGCAAACACGTCAGGATAATGCGTTCTTTCGAACTCTGAAACACGAATTTCATACATATAATTATTGAATAATTTCTTATCATTATGTTTTGTTTCGTCTAAAAATCTCGGAGTTGTTATTATGAGAAATCGTAAAATGCTAGTCAAAAAGTTGATAGTTGGATGCGTTCGAGCAAAATCAGGCTAACATCATTTCATGTCTAACTTTCTCTCAGGTTTCGATTTTTCGGATTTAAATGTGATTATGTGCCCTCAGTTAGCCAAAAGCGATTTAAACTAACTCCTCGGGGTTACAAAAAGTTTTTCCTCCGGAAAACTCAAATCCCGATTTTTCAATCTACTTTGATCAAAATCGGTCCCCTAAAAATACTGCCCTCTTTGCATTCAGGTCCTTGGTCCTTATTTCTGTAGACGGTCACACCATGTAAATGGTGTAAAAAATAGCCACTTTCATGGTAGATAGTATGGTAACATAAGTGCTATTCCTGTAAAATCGAAACTTGGCGTATCAGAGCTCACTCTGAACTCGGCCGGGGGATGACGACGTTATTCAATCATAACAACATAAAAATGTTTCCGCTGCTACCCTC